TGGTTAGAGCTTTATTGAAATGTCATGCGTTACATTTTATTAAGTTCCATCACCCACTATCCCTCCTTAAAGCATCATAGCACCCAGCCTCGGGTATTGCAGCAGCCCTTTAGCCCTAATGCAAGCAGTGGGTTGGCTCTTGGTGGAGTTATTCAAATGTAAAATTGCATTGATGGGTGGATGTCATTGTGGAGGAAGACAGGTTGTATTTGTATGCAGACCACCCTTGGTAATGCCCACAAGTGATGTTGAGCCTCTTTGACTGAAAGAAACGAAATGCGGTCAATGTAAAGGTGCGACAGGGACAGTAAGGCTGAGAAGGAATGAGCTAGATGATGCTGGATGTCCTCCCAACAAGGAAATGAGATGGGCTCAAGCTTTGTAATGCATGTTAGGAGAAGCTCACCGTGTGCAGGGAAATCAGAGTAAGCAATTTCAGTTCAGGAGAGGAGCCGATACAACTGTGTAAGACTAAGGGGAAGGCCGGAGTTCAGCTTTAATCGGGTATAAATGAATGTGTATCATTTCCATTTCATGCTCTGTACATAGTAACGCTGCCGTGCCTACGTTTGCTGGTCCTTTAATCTCTTAAATCCTCCTTGCATCCTTGCTGGATCTGAAGTTCCACGTCCCTGTGTCATATGAAATGACATAATTGTCTAAACCGTGTGATCACCTCCTGACCGTGTTTTGACTTGTCACTCTTTTGTTTGATGTGATACACTTTTAGAGACAATGGCCGGCATGCTGATACTTGTATATTAGGGCTGCAACAGCTAATCGACATAATCGATTATAATCGATTATTGAAAAAGTTGACAACTTTTTCAATAATCGATTAATCGTCTTCCGATCAGTTGGCCCTGTTCACGGCTCCACACACGCTGCGCGCCGCACCTCTTCCCCACCTCACGCTCGCCGCTGCCAGACCCGCCCACATCCACGCCCTTCACGCCGCACCTCCTCCCCGCCTCACACTCACCGCCCGCCCACATCCACGATCGGCACAGGGGTGCGGGATTGTATATAACTAGTTTTATTTAAGAGTTACAATAAAATAAACCAGAACTATTGTAGTTTTTCTTCCACATCAGGTATACTGCCTGTCCACACCGAAGGGTGTACATTGAAGTGACAGAAATACGGGGCCTGTCATTACTGACATCTCTAAAGCCACACAAAGACCTCTTATCTGCCTCATGATGTCTCCAGGCTTCTGTGTTGTATGACTTCATCATCATTCAACCCTTATTCTCTGGACCCATGTAGTCATAGACCTGTCCCTTGGGGCTGCGTCATCCTGCGTCAGGCTGGGCTCTTGAGTATTCCTGGACAGCATGGTGCTCACATATCCTCACATAAGCTTCATACTGTCCCGGAATAAAAACGTACCTCTTGCTGCCAGGAAGAGAAGGACCCATGGACCGGACTGGACTGAAGACAACAGGAAAAATGCATATACAATGGAGTTGTTTTTCTTTGGTGGCCGGGAGGGAGGGCAGGAAAAAGTTTGGGCATAAAAAGTTTCTTCTTCTGAAGCAGTCGCTCTTATTCCTGCTTGAGTAATTTGTGTGTATTTGGCCTGGAACAAACATGTGAGGTGTTTGAACACTCCCTTGCACTTTGCTGGTTACAGATCATTGATTCACTAAGCCTTAGCAGGGATGTTGGGATAAAGTTGACAGCCTGGAGTGTTCACCTCAAAATCAAGTGAGCAGTGGCAGCTCCCATAAATCTATCCTTCTAACCTACTATAAGCAAACCATAGGAGCTGTCACATACTAGTTGCCTGGCTGTCATGCTGACCCTTTTGCTTTGACACTTTTCACCGACCGGAAAATTATGAAGATGTGGACTTTCCACTGTTCACTGATTTTTCCTGATCTGTTCATGACAGATTTCCTTTGAACGGCAAACGCCTTTTAATAAGGTTGTCCTTTAATCAATCTCCCTCCTGAAGTGCATGTTGTCTGGTAGAATATTTACCCTGTTCCTGCTCCCACAATCATCACTGTGCAGCCCTGCTTGACATGCTCAGCCTTTGCAAGGAAAATGTCCTGGCCGGGTCCTCTTCCTGTAGATGAGGTGTACTCATGGCGTTCTCCAGCTATTCAATACAGCTCATTCATGGGAATGAACGGGGCGATGATGTATGTACGCAATATGTTTGGAC